CGCCTTCATAAAGTCCTTTGCTACATGTTCAGTAGTTTTCACACAGTTTTCATTGCTGTCTGTGTAGTTCACTGATACGTTTTTTTGGGGGAGGGGTTTGTTTACTTCTGTGTCTTCTAGAACTGTTCTCAGGTTTTGAAGACATAGTTGGAAAACACTGGTTTTCCCACTTTACTTTTTCAACATGTCTGGTAGGTAAAGACCCCCATATACTATCAGGTTTTTGGCTAAATGGTAGCCAAAAAATAGACCCCATCCTATTTTAGATAATATTTTCTATTAAAATTATTGAGGTACTTGAAACCTTTGATTTGAGCCCAAATATCTCTCTTCTCCATGTCATTTTGTTTCATTCCTCTCTCCTGGTCTTTCCTTTCCCTTTCTCTCTCTCCTACCTCCCCCCCAAAAAAGAGCATCCAGAACTTGTATAGTTTCAATTTGGCCCATTTTTATAAAGTGCACATTTAAAATATCAAATTTAGTTAGCATTCAAGTGATGACCAGATTTAGTGGGAAAAACATACAAACCATGGACATGTTTATTCAATCAAAACAACATTACAGATTAACCAGGTTATACAAACAAATAATAAAGGGGGAAAAAACTATACCTGAAGGAAGCTGACAGGCCTATTAATTTTATCTGCTTCATAAACTGTACATTAAGATAAAAAGTGTTGCAATAAATTAATAAACTAGGCTAAAGCACTTAGATCCAGGCTTTATTTATTATGTTACATTTTGTCATCTTTAATTCTCTTCCTAAATCACAGGCAGTTGATAAAAGTGAGAAGCTTAGATATAATGGTGATGCGCACAACAGATAACCGTAATGTGGCTAGACCAGTTCTTTCAATTCAGATTCTCTTTGACGATTTTAGCAGCTTATAAACAAACATGTTTACCGTGTGCTGTTATGCAGGTGACGTCCAGCTTATTTTTCTGCTGGATAAGAAATAGAGCAATACAACACATCTGTCATTTATATAACTTAATTTATTATGACCAGCTTTTATACTATGTAAGCAACAACAATGGAATAGCTCTTCCTTTTTCTATACAAGGAGGATCACTATACAAATGGCATTGGATAACTATACGGCTAACGAATAAAATGACTCATCCCAGTGAAGTGAAATTGGTGGGCAATATATCACGTTGATGATATCTCGGTAAAAGATGTGAGATGGAATGAGATTTAAGGACACAAATTAACACAGGGAGGCTTTTCAAAGTTATAAAGAGGACACAAATCTTGCCTTTCAATGGAAATCAAGTTCCCTCTTTGTTCCTTTTGACAGTCATGCTTCAGTTTTTATATAGAATATTTTCCTTTCACTGTTTGTATATCGTAAATTGAAAATACAGTTACTTTTCAGCTAAATGTCTTTCCATTTAGCTGGGTATGCACTCCTCTCCCTCCCCCGTTTGTAATGGACAAAACTAACCTGGCTGTGCTATGGTCAGCCCTTTTTTTGAGATACCTCTATGTCACACTCAGCATAGATAGCAATGTTAAAAGTACTGTTAGTGTTGGATAGTTAGCTGATGTTCCTAGGGGAAGTTCACACATTTTTGTATGTGTGTGTTTAGGAAACCATATGAGCTTCATAAGCAAATTCATATTGTCAAATAATTTAATGGTAAAAGTAAGAGGAGGCAGTTTGGACTCCTAATTCAACTACGTTCTTACCCTAACTTTGTAAATGTGAGGACTTTTTGAGTTGAAATCAATGGATTACTTATTTTAGATGCTTAAAATAGAGCCACACCTTGCTGAACTGATGTCTGGTGGGAGGAACTGTTTTCTTACTACAGTAAAACTCCAATTGTCCGGCATCCAGTGGACTGGTACTCCCAATAGTCCGGAAGTGCTCCGGCCAGCCGGACAGTTGGAGCTGCTATGAGCTCCATGGGCGCTCGCTGCTGGGAAAGGGAAGGGGAGAAGAGGGAAAGGGGATTATACCCCTGTGACGGGTCTGCCGGGACCCACACTGTAACCTGCCAGAGGGTAGGGGATGGCGGGGAACGGCGCAGCGAGGGGCGGACCCTCCGCCATTTTGCAGGAAGGCGGGAGAAGCCCCTCACTGCTGCTGAAAGTTACCGGGAGGGGAGCGGGCTCCCCACCCCCCAGACTGCAGTAGTTATTACTGAGCAGGGGGGTGAGGTGCAGCACTGCGGGACCAACCCGGCAGCACCCCAGCGGCTCTGCTCCGCCGCTTCCCCAAGTCCGCCTTGTCAGTTTCAGCAGTGGCGGACTTGTGGAAGCGGTGCGGAGCAGAGCCGCTGGGATGCTGCCGGGTTGGACCTACAGCGCCGCCCCTCACTCCCCTGCTCAGCACCCGGCAGCACCCCAGCTGCTCTGCTCTGCAGCTTCCCAAAGTCCACCGCTCGTCAGTTTCAGCAACGGCAGCAGCGGACTTGGGGAAGCAGAGCAGAGCAGACACTGATTAGCCCGGGGGCAGGGACAGCATGCAAAGTCTCCTCTCACTGAGGCACTTAGAGAGAATGGCCAGCTGTTTTAAAATAGGTGGCAATTATCTCTGGCTTTCAATCTGTTGTTCTGAAAGTTGAACCTTAAACTACAGATTATGACAGGTTTTTTTAAACAAGTTGCAGGTGAGAAACACACCCGCAAAATAAGGTATGTTTGAGTTGACTCTGAAGCACATACTGTATAAAAACCTTTCCAGCATCTCTTATTTCTCAAATTATTTGTTTTCTTTTATTGGCAGCAGAATGCAGGTATTTGTTTTTGTTTTTTAAAACTTATCATATTTAAAAATAAAAGCTTTGTCCTGAGGATGAGTTTTTGTACACCAAGATACCGCCTGAAGTAACATCTTGCCGTAAACCCCTGAAAACAGAGAGGGGAAGAAGGGCTATATTGGAAACATAGATGTAAATGAAGTGATGCCAGCGGCACTTTAATGATGACAGAGCAGATGACTGCCTGCTAAGTGACTTGTTCCCAGTGTCTTTGTGAATTCCACCAAGAGCATAAAACAGGTGTAAAACTTTTAAGGCTCCTTTACATTGACAGAGTGATATAAAGAATAGCGTGGCCTTATAAATACTTACGGTGCTTCCATGATTAGAACTCATCTAATTTTGTGGACTGAAATAATTTTCTACCAAAATGTGCTCCTTGAACTGTTTGCTACTGACCTTTCTAGACATGGTCAGTCGCCAATATAAATCGAGTTTGATTTCCCAGCCATCACTTGTTTGTCAGTTGCCTATGATGTAGCACCGAGCAAATGGCTGTGTGCATTTTTGACTAATAACTGAAAGTAAAGAGTTAAACCTAGCAGCATTATTGTTAGGCACAAGGGTCTCAGGGATTTTCTCCAGTGCTCCCCATTCTTAGTCTCTGTCCAGTCTATTATAATTTATAAATTACCAAAATAATTGAAACCAGAGTGATTCTGTTGCTTTATTTTGATAGAATATGCAGAATTTTGCAGAATTTTAAATATTGTGCATGATTTTAAAAAAAAATTCTGCACAATTTTTAATTGTTTTGGAGCAGACTTCTCCCAAGAATATATCTTTTGATGGAATTCTCTGGCTTATGTTCAAACACATTTAAAATAACTTATTTTGTAAGATTAAAATGAATATGTAATGATATCCTCAAGTACTAGATTTCCTTCTCTGTTTTTCTTTCTCAGTGCTAGACTACACTAATATGCTACATCAGTGCACTTTTACCACTGTAGTGCACTTACACCACCATCAGTGCACGAATACCACTGTAGTGAAGATGTGATATGCCAACAGGAAAGCGCTCTTTCACCTGCATAATGTTCCAGGTCAATGAGAGTCAGAAGCTGTATCAATGGGTATAGACATCTCATTAAGGCGATGTAGCTTATGTCGCTCATGTCTCTCAGAGGGGATGGCTTTTTCAGACCCTTAAGCAACATAACTTACATTGACTTAGGTCAGTGGTCCCCAACCTTTTTGGGTGGCGGGCACTGCGCGGGACTGCTGGACCGCCCAGGGGTGGGGGGGCCATGCATGCACCGGGTGCCCAGGGCAGGAGCCGCGCATGTGCCTCGCTCCCGGGGGCGGCGCTAGGTGGGTGCACATAAATGCCCCGGCGGGCGCCATGGCTCCCGCCGGCACCGCGTTGGGAACTCCTGACTTAGGTGATAGTGTAGACCAGGGGTGGGCAATAATTTTTAAAAGGGGGCAACTTCACAAATTTCTGAAGTGGCCCCAGGCTGTGCCAGAAGGGCAGAAAGGATAGGACCAGGAAACTTCTCATGCTCCCCCATCCACAGACCCCGATTGGCCTGGGCCCCATGGAGCCCAGAGATAATTGCCACCTATTTTAAAACAGCTGGCTATTCTCTCTAAGTGCCGCAGTGAGAGGAGACTTTGCACGCTGTCCCTGCCCCCGGGCTAATCAGTGTCTGGGGGCGGGGATAGCACACAAAGTCCCTCACTCCCTGCCCCCACTTTGCCAGGGGCACACAGTGGCTAATGAGAACAACTGGCTGTTTGACCTGGGGTTGGGGGAGTGGCAGGGCAGCCACAGGCTGGATCCACTCGCTTGACAGGCTGGATCTGGTCGCTGGAAGCTGTCTTGCTAAGATAATTCCTCAATTGAATAATAAGTATGATACCTTAATTAAGATTGTATTTCCTACATGTGGTAGGTAATAACCCAGGCAAGACAGAAATTGCAGGTCCATATATTTCTTCATCATCACACACAGCACTTTCTGCTAATATGGAAGAGTTGCTTTTGAAGAGTAAAAATACCTGATGTTTGGTGTGTTATGTGGATCTTGGCAGTCTGGCTTTAGTTCTCTATTAAACATTAAAGTGAGCAGCTGTGATGTGTTCCATATAGTTGTACCCCTGTGGCTCATGGCAAATTGCCAGCATGTCCCTTCACTTATGAAACTATTGGGCATTTTTTACATAAGAGCTTGATACTCATTCTGGCCTTGTCTATTACAAGTGACTTTTCTCTCTCTTTTTTGCAGATACTGAACATCTTTATACCGTGGTTTTTCAAGAGATCTGTGGACGCTTTGGAAAGGTCTATAACTGGGATGTGAAATCATTAGTCATGGGTAAAAAAGCATTGGAGGGAGCAAAGATTATTCGAGATGTACTTGAACTTCCGATGACCAAAGAGGAGCTACTGCATGAAAGTAAAATGAAGCAGGAAAAAATATTTCCTAATGCTGCACTGATGCCAGGTGTTTCTCTTCAATATTTAAATAACTGCATTATGGAATTATTTAAACACTGTGATTATTGCATAGTACTGAAACCTCCTTTCATAAAGTACCTTCTCTCTAATACCTGTTTTCTTCACTCTTGGTTTGATAAGTTTAGCTAATAATTGCCTGTTTACTTGGTTGAAAGCTACTAGGGATGCTGAGAACTTTGTCATACACGCTTATGGAACAGCTGCTCTTAATACAGCTTTTTAAGAACAGAAAAATAGATGGCCAGGATACATATCCATGAAATGTGAAAGTTTCATGATCTAGTCTTTGCTTTATAATATCTGAGAGTACCTTTGTAATTCAGCAGGTTTGTTTTGAAGAGTGCATGTGTAGTCTCTGTAAAATAAGTAATATGCATTGGGGATGGGGAGAATACTAGGCAACAAATTTAGGCATGTAGAAGAAGAAAATCCTAAATTAAGTTTGTTACCAATATAGAATTTAAAGATAGTGTTTCTTGAGCAAACAGCAATATTTTATGGTTAAATATAATGAGCGAGGGCAGAATGGCAAATTCTAGATATGTGCAAAGTAGTCTAATTGTAAGCTGGTCAGCTCTGGGAGGGGCACCTCCCCTTCGGGGTCAGTGGGTGGCCACTCCAACCCACTACACTTGGATCAGTTTCTGGGGCGGAAATTAACATATCAAACAACCAGTCCGGGATCCCCTGCTCTTACCTCAGGGTGGGGTGACAAAAGTAACCAATAACAAATGTGGCCTGCATTTGGGCATGCGAACAAATGATATGAAGAGGCCAGGCCTTAGTTCAGGGCGGGCCACCTAGTCTGGTGAAGAAGGCCTATCCCTAGTTCAGGGCGGGCCGCCTAGTCTGGTGAAGAAGGCCTATCCCTAGTTCAGGGCGGGCTGCCGGTAAACAGTTTGTAGCCCAGCCTTTGGTCAGGGCAGGGTGGCAGGCACAACAGTTTATAAGCCCCAACAGTTAATCAAGGCCCAGCCCTGCTTCAGGGTGAGGCCGCAGGAAAGCAATTTGTGAAGGCCCAGAAGTTTGTAAAGGATCTACACAAGTGAGGTCTCCTTACTCAGGAGGGTTGCAAGCAGCTCGCTGGCAAGGCAGAGAGGGGGAGGGTGGCCAAGCGGTGGGTGGCTGGGGAGGGAGCACAGGCCCGCCCACTCCACTGTGCCCCGACCCAGGGCCCTAGAGGTAGCAGTTTACTGCTGCTGGATCAGCGGGGGCTCCCGCCTGAAACACGCTGATCCAGGCATGTCCACGTCCATGCTGTCCCCGGGGCCACTTTCCTCCTCCCCCTCAGCGTGTACCTGGTAGTCACGTAGGTCTCCCGTGGAGTCACAGGGATCCAGGTCCATTGGCCAGGTCCTCAGCGGCTTGCAGAGTGTTTGGGAAGTCCAGGAAAGTCTGTTGTTCCTCCAGGCCGCTGTGCAGCAGGGGCCCCAGTGGTCCACACCAGCTCACCGCCTCCCCAGGCGTTTGCTTCACTCCGCCGCGTGCAGGGGAGCTCTCTGGCGTCTGTTGTCCCTCCAGGCCACTGTGCAGCAGGGGACTCGGTGGTCCACACCAGCGCTCCACCTCACCACGGCTTCGCTCCCTTCCTCCAGGTGTAGGGGAGTCCTCTGGCCTCTTCAGTGGTCGGTGCCTCTCTGGCCTAGCCGGCAGGCTTTTTACCTCTCTGGCTCTGCCCCTTGGCTACGGCCAGGTAGCTCAGTAGGGCCAGGTGTAGCCCACCAAGGCTCCGGGAGGGACGCCTCCCCTTCAGGGTCAGTGGGTGGCTACTCCAACCCACTGCACTAATGTAATCATAACAGTGAAAACTTTTGAAGATTATTGCATTTTGAATGTTTGGATTTTCAGACTACTAGTAATGAACCGTAAAGTCTGGGGGGAAAATGGTGGGTGAGGCTATATTTATATCTAATGTCCTAATATCTTAAAAGGACTGGGAGGGAACCACATGTGTGCGTGCGCAGGGGGAGGACGACAAATTAAAATAAACAGAAAATCTGGATATAATTTGTATATTCAGCTAACACTCAGCTGGCTTGGCTGACAGACATGTAAATTCATTTTTCTCGAGCTTACACTCACTTTACAAGCTCCACCGACTTTTCAGTTTTTGAAGACAGCAAATGAGTACGTGCCTGGATGCATGCACACGTACTGTTTGCATGCACATGTATAGACCTAAGAGGTGAAAAAACTTGCCCCCATTGAAGTCAATAGAAATATTGATATTTCATTCACTGGAGTCACAGGGTACGTCTAGACTACATGCCTCTGTCGCCAGAGGCATGTAGATTAGGCTTCCAGACATATTAAAATGAAGCGGCGATTTAAATAATCGCCGCTTCATTTAAATTTACATGGCTGCTGCGCTGAGCCGACAAACAGCTGATCAGCTGTTTGTCGGCTCAGCGCAGCAGCCATGTAAATTTAAATGAAGCGGCGATTATTTAAATCGCCGCTTCATTTTA